AATGGACACACTGGCCATTATTCATCAAAACTGTGTGTGGTCAAATCTGATGCACACACAGCTTCCTTACTTGTCAGTTTCTTTGGCATGTTGGTAGAATCAAACGTTTAATTTTCCTCTCAGTTTCATTCTTTCCTGCAATCTTGGATGCTTTTATTGGCTTACTATCTCACCCCCTGCATATATTAGGGCGTTACCTGTAAAGTGAATGTACATGTAGGTAAATTGTTATATGCATATGACATGTAAACAAGGGGTGAGGTAGATGAGGGCTTGATGAAGCTGATTCATCCTTTGAGCTCAAACCAACCCTTGTTCTGATGTCATATGACAGTGTAATGAATCCAAAGCATATTTGTCCTGTGCTATCCAATGTGCTCGTTTTTATGCAGCGTTGCTGAAGAATGGTCATTATGTATTTGTAAAGTCATTTAAAAACCTGTAGAATGGAAGTAAATGAAAGAGCTTTTGCTTACTGATGAGTTCTTCTTAACTTTTTACAGGACAACATAAGTTTGGGTTCAGCTGTTACAGTTGAAGCACCAGGTAAGGGATCACCACAAATGTACAGAATAAAACGAAACACTTCTTTATTTATCATTTCTAAGTTTTCTTAAGCAAATACTCCAGTGTGTTATTCTTTTCCAGTCTAATCTCTATCTACAAGGATTTATTAACACATCTCTCTGTACTGAGAAAAGAACAAATGCCTGTTTATATAAAACATTCACAGTGGAAGTAAAAGGGCAGGTGTTGAATTCAGTTAACAAATGTTTAAAATGTGCAGATATTACAACACTGATGCAATAGTATGTAATATTACTTGTGCATTTCTGTAACCTTTGTGCAATCAATGTGCCGCTAGGTGAAAAATAAAGCAGTGCTGTATATATGTCCATGTTGATAACATGGCTACAAATTTGTGGTCTCGTCTTTAAAAGGACAAATTAGAACATAGTTTGTGGATAACCTGACTTTATAATTTTATAAAAATGCTATGTTTCAAGTAAGGGTGCTTTCATACTTAGCATCCCTTTTTTTTCTCCTCAACCGCCAGATCATCTTTTACATGTAATGGTATGTGAAGCATCCACAAGACTGTCAGAAAGATGCTGCCATCTGCACTGTTTTTCCCCCACTGTGGAGCTATTCCAAAATAACATTTTGCAGAAAAGTGCTGGGTGACATCAAGCGCTTTTTAAACTCCTGACCAATGAGGTCGCAAATTGGGGGGCAAGCGAGAAAAACCAACATGGAGAACAAAGTGGCAGAGAAAATGTTAGTCTCGTTGGGACGAGTGCTAACTACACAACATTGACAATCTCACAATCGCTGACCCTTTCACACTACATGACTTGGATTGCTTGCGATCATTTGTTTGGTGTTGTAGGGGTGTGCACTTTACAGACGAGGCTCACCAAACCATCCATGCCGAAGCCTGTCTAATCCCAAAATTACATTTTGTAATGATAAATGCAAGATCATGTATCACTATTTTGTATGGAAACAAGAACTAAGAGAAAATGTGGAGGAAATATTGTTTGGGGGAGACATAGGCATTGAGAATTGTCTGTTCTGCAAAGAGAACCAGAGGTACAGTGCAAAAAGTTAGCTATTTTTATACTGCGTGTCAGCAGGAATAATGTTTGTTTTTATTTTTGCTGTTCTTAAAAACAATTTGGGTTTGACATGCCAAATGATTTTTTATAGAAGCATTATTATTGTGCATTATTACATTTTGCCCTTGTCCTCCCACACAAATAGCTGGATGATAAACTGGGTTCAGGGATCTGCAGTGCTTGAGAGCATGAATTTGATTTCCTCTCGTTGGCTGTTTCTCATCGCCGTTCTTTCAACTAGTCGCAGAGGGGTTCACGCTAGGGATTCATCACAGAGAAAATCAAACATGCTTGAAAATATTGGTACCCCGGCAATCGTTCACAGACTAAAAAAGTTGTGTCACTGAACCATTCACACTATACGAGTGTACAGTGAGTAGTCGCTGAGCCACAAAATTAGTTGGAGTCTGGGAAATCTGGGCTAAAATCATGAAGTGTGTACTAGGTTTAATGAGTGAATATGCAGAGATTTATGATCTGCAATTGCCATATCATTAGATATAACAAGTTGGCTATTTTTGGAACCTTTACTGGTATTTCATGTGGCATCCCACTTTAACTGTGGCTGAATTCAGTCAAGTCACACTAACCATCACTGGCTAGCACGTTTCCTGTAAAAGCAGCCTAAACAGGTTTTCTGTTCTTAGGGCAGGGAAATACCCACATGTGAGCTACAGATGCAGTAGACAGAGATTGGAGAATATTTCCTTAATTCAAAGTGTGCTAGCCTATTCACATAAAGTACAAGAAATGCTTGTTAATCAGTTTTATTTCTGCCACAGCGCCTCAGCCAAAGAAGATAGAGGAAGTGAAGAAGGAGGTGGCTGTCTCTCCTCAGCCTACCCCCAAAAAAGAAGCTCCCCCTCCTGAACCCACAGCCAGTCAGGATACTGAGCCGTTCCCCGGACAGCCGACGGAGAAGGACCACGAGCCGCGCCTCGGACCCCGGCCACGCTCACACAACAGAGTGCTCAACCCGCCTGGTGGAAAGTCCAGTGTGGTCTTCTACTGACCAGCGCTGTGTTCTCTGTCTCAATCACTCTCTCGCTCTGTTCTGTCTTATTAACACTGCTACTTACTTTTTTAATCACTTACCTTCTTCATGGTCTGTTATTTTCGTTGTTTCTTCGTATACCTTGGTTTAGTTTTCCCTCTTGCACTTTCCAACTCATTCCTTAAACAACCCTCTTCCTTGCTATCTGACGGTTTGAGTAACGGTTGCGCTCAATCAATCAAATGGTTCCTTTCTCATCAATCACACTTGGAGGTTGATTGTTTGTTTTATGTGAATGTGCTCTCTGAATTTGATATTGTATAGAATACAGGTCTGATGATGAAATGTAAAGTGTGTGTATGTAACAGTAAACTGGAACCACTGTCGTAATAATGGCGCATGTATGTATCTCAGTCTGAGTGTGTCCTCATGCAGCAGTTCACAATCCCCGTCCCACTGCTCTGCAAGCTTTGCTGCATGGTGCTCAGCCCGGTGTGTTAGAGCATAGAAAACACAAAACCAGCAATAAGTCCTGAGGACTGAGAAGTTTTGTTCTAGCATAGCTCTGAAATTCAGCTGTAATCAGCTAAATAATAGTGTGATGAATTCTTCCTTTTTTTTTCTTCCTACTTCTCATTGGAGATTACAGTGCCATCGGGTTCTTGAGCAGTATAGGGATGTAGGATCTATTAACATCCCTTTTTTTCTGTTACACCATATGCTTAGGAACACACACTGTTCAAGGAAATGCAGCCCAACAATACCAAAATGATCAAACCAAAAAGCCCACACAGATGATCGGATTGTAACACACACAAATACAGTAGCACAAAAGGCTGACTCCAGAGTATGCTCTTACTCAGCATGGATTCTTTAGCAAAAAATAAATCAACATGTCATTTTAGTTAAATACACAAATCTAAAGGTATTTGGAACATCAGAAATATTCTCTTGCAAGAAAATGCTCTGGATAAACGGATGTTCTGATAATTATTTTGTACCAAATACCAAAGGGTTATGTTTTCACACTTGAATCTGTTTTTCCTTCCTACACCTCGAGCTGCCGGTTTAAATTAAAACTGCAGCAGGGAGGCAGGCAGGCGGCGCACGTTTGTGTGAAAGTGTGTTTCTCACATGCTGATGGAAGCACTGCCCAAAGTGCCTGTGTGGTTGAACGGCAATGTCACAGAAAACTGTGTTACAATAAACATCTATTTTGATGATTCATACACTGTTGTGTTGTGTCCTTCTGTTTAGGTCATGGTTATAAATTCTTATCATCTTAGCCTGTATTTCCTCTTATTTCTAAACGCTTAGGAAAGTCACACTGAGAACTCTTAATGGTGCTCCAGTTTTTCCCGTACGAGGGAACCATTTGAGGTTCTCTGAGAAGCTATAAACCCTTAACAAGATTTTACACTCCAAGTCAAAGAGTGAGCAAGCACGAGTTCTCTGTGTACAAACGATTGGTTTCAGTTTTAGTTTCTTCCATTTTTCTGCCTCTGCCACCATGTGGTAGATATCTCAAGAACAAGTGCTTGAATATTTGTAGGATTTATTTGGAATTATCATCGTAAACAGCAGTTGAACTGATTAGATTTTGGAACTGATCCAAATGTTCAAGGTCAAGGTCACAGCAAGGTCAAATGTCTGAAATAGTTTTTCTTGAATAGCTTCCTCTCTGTTTGTCATACAGAAATGTTACTTACATGTTCATACTCAGGAACTCAAGGCCCATTTTCTGGCTAATTGCAGTTTTTTCCAGAGGTCTGTCCATCATTCGTCCGTCCAAGAATCTTGTTAGTGCGATATCTCAAGAAAGGATGCTTGAATGTTTGTAGAATTAATATGGGATTATCATTCTAACCAGCAAATGAATTTACTTGAGTATGGAATTGATCCAAACAGGGTCAGGGTCACAGCAAGGTCAAATGTCTGAAATAGTTTTTCGTCAATAGTTTCCTTCCTGTTTGAAGGATATTTTAAGGATATTTCAGCCACACAAATTAGTAACAAGAAGGACTAGACTTGTTGGTGGCACAGGAATCCCTGTCAATGCCACTGGTACCAAGTTCTACTTGTTTGTGAAAGCAGTGTTTTCATTTGCCATGTAGAGCATCAACTTCACTGAATCTATGACTTTTAAAACACTTTTTTGGGGATAATTTATTAAATATCCTTGTTTAATTTGATTGGACAAGAGGCGTTCCAAGAGGTGTTCTTGTTCCTCTTTCGGCTGCTCCCGTTAAGGGTCGCCACAGGGGCTCATTGGTCTGCATATTTGATTCTGGCACAGTTTTTACACCGGATGCCCTTCCTGATGCAACCCTCCCCAGTTTTATCCAGGCTTGGGACCGGCACTGAGAGCGCACTGTTGCTGGGGTTGGTTCCCTGGCTGGGAATCAAACCCGGGCCGAAGCTGCAAGAGCACTGTGGCCTAACCACTACTCCTCCAGGGACCCCAGGCATTCCAAGAGATATTTAGTATATATTTAGTATAACAGTACTGATACATTTCACTGTTTGAATCACTCTGTTTCTCTGTGTTCACTACATAAAATTTGAATTCTAGCAATAATCCATTGCATTATAACTGTTACTACACTTACTACGAGCTGTCAGTCTGTGCACTGCATGGCATCATGCAACACTGTCCAGCTGTGGCTTCTTTGGACTATTTGAACGTGTGGACTTCTTTGAACTATTTTGGTTGATGAAGCAAAAATAAATGAAATATTTGGCCATATTGTGTCAGTTACTCAATATTCATTTCTTGTTTATAGAACTGTTGTTACAATCTGCTGTGATTACCTGTGGCCTCGTGCCTATGCTTGAATCACAGCCGTGCTGAAATTCAGTAACAGCACTTTTGTTTGTGCAATGTTGCTTAAATAGCTACTGGGTTTTATTTGATATCAGGTCGTGTTTTAAAGAAGACTGTGCATTGCCAGAAGAATGTAGATTTTTGTACATACGAATACCATGGAAACTCATTCGTTCGTTCGTTCATTCATACATTCATTCATCTATCTTCAGTAACTGCTTTATCCTGATCAGGGTAGCGATGGATCATGGGAACATTGAGAGTGAAATGGGAATACACCCTGGATGGGGATGCCAGTCCATCGCAAGTTATCACACACATTTATATACTCATTCACATATTTTTGGACAGTTGGAGGAAACCAGAGGAAACCCACATGAACAGCAAATTCCAAGTATTTAAACACCTAAAATCTTTAACGGAATCCTCACATTGACCCCCCAGTTGACATGTAGTAGTCACCACATGACATACAATCCTTATACATTGACTAAAGCTTTCTCCCCTACCACAGGATCAGTCAAACTCAGTGGCAGAACATCAGTTTTGGCTCAGGGCTGGGACATTTCAGCAGAGGACTCAACTGTGGAATATAACTTATGATGCCAGATATTAATGCCAGCGTGAATTTATCAAATTTCACCACAATTTCACCTATTTTGGAGGTGTAGAGCTACCTGTCTGTCATGACACAACTATGTGTGTGTGTGTGTAAGAAATGTACCTCAAAAGCGTACTATACACTGTAATATCAACAAGACGTGAGACTGGCTGCTAGCCTACTCAGTGAGCAGCAGCAGATGTGTTGTGACTGGAGGAAGTTGAGGTATTTGAACTAATTCCACTGTCCCTGACTTTGCCTCGGCACATTTCTTCTTAAAATCTTCTTTCTAGAGACAGGTTTATGTGCATAGTTTATGTTTATTGTGCCTATCCTGTGTACGGTGTATAGCCTGCACATTGAGGTTACAGTAGCTACTTATAAAGGTTGTGTAGCCTAAGCTGTAGTGATTATTGTATTAATTAGTGTACATATGCATGCAGTACATGTATTTATAGGTGTAGCAAGTGTTTACAGAAGACTTATTGTTTCTTCCAATTATATGTGTATTTTAAATGATTAATATAGTTTTGCAGCTGGTCACTTCAGCCTCTGGATTGTAACCCTACTGAAAAGCCATACTCTGAATTAAAGAAGGCAGTTCAACATGCATAAAGCTAAGAATATAGAGGATCTTGAAATGCTGAGCATGAAAGAGTGGTCCAGTATTACTCTGTGTTCAACATTTTGTTGAAATAAAACTATACAGCGCCCCCATATGTTGAAGTAGGACTAATGTTAAAATATCACTCCCTGTAGGTGAATAATTCTGGATTTGACTTTACATCAATTCATGCTGTTGGATTGATTAGAATTTACTGGAATAAAAACTGGAGGCCTGAGTCATGCTAGGTTTATTCTAAATTCTCTCCAGCTCTTTTATCATTTTATTTTCTTGTATTAGCCTACATTCAGTAAGTGATGAATTATAACTCATCATAACATGAAAACAGCATGCAAACAATTATTCATTATGCATTATTCATCACTTTAAAATTATGTTTGCCATCACAGTATTTTTTCAGAAAAGTCCACATGCCATTCACGTCCAATATTTCACATTCATGTAACTGTTTAAACTTCTTCTCTGACCCATCTCTGTAATGTATGGAAGCCTGTTTCCTCTACTGGAAAAAGAGAATATGTGGTCAGTCAAATTTAAAAGAATATATTACACATAGTTTACATAAAACTATTTTGTTTCTCATCAAACCATGATTTCATTGCTTATATTAAACTGAATTTAATCAAGTTTTTAATTACTAGTTTGATTTATGTAGGGTGAGTGTAAGCAATTCACATATTAATGTGATCCAATTACATTATAAAATCTCACACTGATGGGAAGAAATGACTACAGTATTAAATTAACCTGATTAAAGTATGTGTGGCATGATAGCGCAGTGGGTACCGTCACGGCCAGGGTAAGGGCCCGGGCTCGGCTGGGAGGGCAGGATAAGGGCCCAGGCTTGGCTGGGAGGGCAGGATAAGGGCCCGGGCTCGGCTGGCAGGGCAGGGTAAGGGCCCGGGCTCGGCTGGGAGGGCAGGGAACGAGCCCGGGCTCGGCTGGGAGGGCAGGATAAGGGCCCGGGCTCGGCTGGCAGGGCAGGGAACGAGCCCGGGCTCGGCTGGGAGGGCAGGGTTTGATTTTATACATGATCAAATCGTGTTAGATGTATGAAAACAAATTGTGTCAGTGTAACTCAGCTCCATCACGTGGAACCGATGTACACATTTGAATAAAGTAAAATCAGTGAGCTTTTTTTCAGTGCAGTTAGAAATTGCATAACATATTTTCTTTATTTTTGGCAGCAGTAGTATCTTGAAATTTTGAGATATTGAGTCAGAATTTTGAGCTAGAGGCCTAATAGGTCATCATTTTAAGAGAATAATTCAAAAATTTTAAATAAGAAGTCAAAATTCCGACATACTGCTGCTGCCAAAAACAAAGAAAAAAAATGTCATGCATTTTTTCCCTTTTCTGCCTGGAAATGGGCTTCTATAGTGTAATGTCATCGCCGGTGCACGAGCTCGACGCAGACGCGGTGGCACCACCCGCGCCGTGACGTCACCCCTTTGAGTCACCCCCTCCCTCGCCCCCCTCCGCCCAGCTCGCACGCGACTCTCTCAGCACCCGGAGAGAGCGAATGGGAAGCGGCATCACCGCCCCACGTTAAAAAACACCGCACCGACTGTGGATGCCAAAAGCCGACTTGTGCCGCTATGCTTTATAGACACTATACCCGGGCGTCGAGCAGCGGCCAGGTGACATCCGCCTGTATGTATATGTAAACGGGTTAGCTATTTACACTTTATTTATTTATTTAGCACATTATTATTATTTTTTCCTCCATTGATTTTGTCGGCGCAGTAATGGCCGCGCAGAGGCAGGTGCAGCGTCGCGGATGTTTGTGCGCGTGATGTGACGGATTCCGCACGCGCGCTGGGATGGGATGGGACACACCGAACCGAGGCCCGATCTTTCCGGTGACACGTCTGATGAGGCTTTACATCGAGGCGTAGGGGTGAGGTTTTAATACCGCCGGCTGAGGGCCTCCTCTCGCATAGCGGCACACGGACTAAACAAACAATCCGCGCGGCCGAGATTCTCCCCGTGACACTGCGGCGCATCCTGATGCTTTTCACATCCCATCATGGAGCAGTGTGGCAGCGCGTGCACCTGATGACGCCCCTGTAAATGAACCCCACTCCCTCCTCCCAAAATAATAACGTCTGGATGTAAAAAGAATCGCACTCGCACTGAATCACACGCGCGTTTGTTTATTTATTTATTTATCTGATTCCCCTGCGTTAAAAAAAGAAAAGAAAAGAAAGAAAACACAGTAACATCGCCAAGATGATGGAGCTGCCGCTGGACGAGGTCGTCTACCAGGACGACTACGGCTCCGTGTCCGTGATGTCGGAGCGCGTGTCCGGCCTGGCCAACAGCATCTACCGCGAGTTCGAGCGCCTCATTCGCAGCTACGACGAGGAGGTGGTGAAGGAGCTCATGCCGCTCGTGGTGAACGTGTTGGAGAACCTGGACTCCGTGCTCACGGAGAACCAGGAGCATGAGGTGGAGCTCGAGCTGCTCAAGGAGGACAACGAGCAGCTCATCACGCAGTACGAGCGGGAGAAGGCGCTGCGCAAGCAGGCCGAGGAGGTGAGCGCGCATGCGCGGCCCCGGTGTCACAAAACAGCACAATGTAACAGCAAAAATACGGTTTAAAGCCTTGTTTTTTTATTGACTAATAGACATGGCTCGGTCAGAGGTCACGATTGGCTCGCTTGCGTGGACCTGAATGAACACCTTTTTGAATAAAAATCAATTTTAAACTACACACTCTCAGAAATAAATACTAAACTGTACCTTTCCTTGTCACTGGGGTGGGACCCTCAAGGGACATCTTTTGTACTTTGTAGTGTATATCTATTACATGGTAATATGAATAAAGTATACCTTTAATATGATTTAAACACATAATTGGACCTTCAGAACCACTCTTGTATCTTTAATAAGCTTTTAGAGGAATACTTTAAAGGTACACTACATCCAAATTTCCAGGTAAAAGGTATACACTAAAGATATAAACCATCAGTGACAAGGACAAGGACAGGTACTTTTTCCCTGAGAGTACATGCCTTTTCTGCTTGCTTTAAATGAAGTTGACCAACCAAAACTTCTCGAGCTAAATTTCTATTTTTTTCATTTGGCATCAAAAGCAAAAAAAAAAAAAATAAAAATCTTTGACAGGATACAATCCAAGCTGCTAGGAGTTAAACAGTGGTTCTCAGGTACTCCTGCGATTTGATCTCACAACCTTATGCTCATTAGCTTAGAACCTTTACCATTAACCCACCATCGCCCCTAAAAACCTTATGACCACCAGTTACCATAATGTAAAGTGCATGCCGAATTCATTACATATTTGCCTCAGATAACATGTTTTCTTATATACAGTTTTATAACTAGCACAAATCCCTAAGGCCATCCTAAGTTCCAAAACCCTCGATATCGATATTACAGTGCAGAA